ATATATATAATTATGCACAACTTACTGTAAGAACAACTTCATGTTTTGTTTCATTGTGTTGTGACGCATGATTTTTTTCTTTCTGAAATTGCAAACTGCTGCATAAACATTAGTGTATTTAAAAAACGTTTTTGAGCAAAGTATGATAGAAACACTTCCAGTCTCTAGACGTGTTTATTGTTCTTATTATCATTGTTTGTGTTAAAAATTAGGGTATATGTTGTTTTTAAAATTTTTTTAAAGTTCAGTAACTTCTATGCTCAAGTTAATAATGTGCATGTTACCAAAGAAATGTTACGCTAAAATGAGCAAGTTAATTTTTTTTCATCAATTATTTCCTGTCATGTTTAATACACGGGGCAGTAGAGTATCTAGCAGTCTTGCAGGGGCTTCACGTATAATATCTAGAACATGTTTCTTAGCCTATGACCTAATACAGGGATGGCAGACAAAAACCTTCAAATGCTGTTACGAAATACCAGTATCCGCGGCAGAGTTACGAAAAGTACGGTTACATGAAATTCCGATACCCCCTAATAATGAATAGCCTGACAATTCAACTTAATTTACGTATCATTCAGGTTAAACTGAAGTTTGATATGCGACAATTTCAGAATATGAAACAGGTAGGTCTACCCTTACCTATATTTACTGCCACACGTTGATATTATTAATCAAACTATATGTGTGTAATGAAACTGTCTTCTGTCAACACGTGGAACCAAAACGCATATCCAGGTATACTTTCATTTAATTTGCTTCAGAGTAAACTTAAATTGTGTTAAAATGTGAGGGTATTAAAGAAACTTGACCCGATCGTCGTCTCAGTAACAGTTTCATTTCTTCTAGCTCACGTGCTTTGTTGCAGATTGCAAACCAGTAACAAAAGCATAATCATAGACCGGAATAGAGGCATCAACAAAGCAATCGCCGAAGGAAGTAGTCATGGGCGCTGCTCTTTTACTTATTAAATTTATCGGTGTTGGAATTTTGGTACTCTCCGCAGCGATACTCGGATTCGCTGCTTATATTGTTTATAATCGACGTAAATATGCACACATTCCACAGCCGAAATTAAAATCGTAAGTCTAACCTTTTTAGGCCTAAAAATTCTTGCTTGTGTTGCTTTCGTTCGATTGAAGTAGGCCTACATTATGAGTTATTACTTGATAGAGGCTTGCTTCAATATTAAGTAGGCCTACAAAACTATAGAATAGGCCTACTATACACCAAACTAGAATATATCCGTAGATGTAGGTACCCATGTGTTAAGTAGAGTACAGGCTGTACTACAGACTGTCGCAATAAATCAAAAAAGCTGACGAGACTACAATACAACAAGTATTGAAGTATTGTCAGAGGGATGTAACTTAAGAGCACGGTCAAGGTTAGGATATTATATCAGTATTACATATACAGGATTAAAATACAGAAAATACGTTAATCAATTTTACACTCAGATCTGTAAATTTACAGAGAAACTGTATACAATAGTAACATATTTTTTGTATTTTCTTTTTACATTTGCGATTGTAATAAAATTTTACAGACAGTTTTGGCAACTAAATTGACATGCATTTTTCTGTAAAAATACATAATTATTTTTTACAGTGTATATTAATCTATGTATATATATGTATATATATATAAGTCTTGGCGCTCGACGTGTGAATTAGCTCGTATAAAACTACATTTCATTTATTTTCTCTCATAAAACAAGCTTTAAATAACCAAACAAAAATTGCAATTGAAAACGGTGATGAGAAGGGATTCGAAAAAACGTAAACCAAATTACTATCACAGTCTGTTGGTCTCCCTGAACTTCCTCCCCCTTTAAAGGGTCTATTTGTGTCTGAGCATACCCGGTAAACTGGACGTACTATGGGCTCTCAGGTGCGAAGCTCGAAGCCCCAGTCCAAAGCATTTTTTTAGCCTTAATATTCCGGTCAGGCAGAGCCACCGAGCGGCCCTGGGCCTTGGAGCAGCAACCTTGGACTCCAATTGAAGCCAGTTTGTGGGGCTGGAGGCACCAAGCGGAGGCACCATGTTTTTATGTTGTTATATGTAGTTAGATTCATAATTTCAACGATTACAGACACCATAGGATATTGAAGGGTTCAGAAAAGATTTCAAACATGTTATGAGGAACATAGAATTTTAGAATATTTGTTCTGTTTTTTAAGTGTGTGTGTGTATATAATGTACGATTACTCTGTGTGCAATCCAATTGTTAACTTTTGGTTACCCAGAGGTGCTATTGTTTTGTCTATTTTCTTCTGTTTTTTCCCCTGGAAATTGAATAAAAAATAAGAGTAGATTATTATTGTTTTCCATCTAACGTTATTGATTTTTTTTCATTGGTTTGTCTCTGGCCGCTGCTGGCCCTGGGCACTGGCTCCGCCCGACCCCCTCTCGGCGGTAGCTAACGCTACTAAAATCCAACACGTTTCCTCACCTGGCCATACGACTCGTCGTTACCCAATGAAAAGAATCCTGGTCAAACGAAAATTTAAGTTGAATTGTGTGAAAAGGAAAAGAATTAATTGGAATGGAGGGAATTTTATGTGACAAAATATTTGCATCATAGCAAGTTTTGCCAGCTTTACTATTCTAGCTGAAAGGTACTTACCTTGTGGTCTTACACACACACTTAAAAAACAGAACAATATTCTAAAATTCTATGTTCCTCATAACAATGTTTGAAATCTCTTCTGAACCCTTCAATATCCTATGGTGTCTGTAATCGATGAAATTAGGAATCTAACTACATATAACAATATAAAAACATGGTGCCTCCGCAAGCCATCTCGATCAGGCCTCCGCTCGGCTGATCGCTCATTGCTCGCAGAATACAGAACCAACAATCACTGGGGATCAAGGGCTTTTAAATTTGAAGCTGGAAAAGTCTGGAACCAGCTCCCATTCGACGTTCGAAATTTGTCTTCACTCTCTGAATTCAAGTCTGAGCTTAAATCTTTTCTTTTTATTTCTCATTTTGAATCAACTCAATAACTGTTTTTCCCCGTCACTCACAGGCCGGCATTTATTTTTTGGGGCAACTATTACAACTCCTGAGCACCCGGTCGTCTGTGGCAGGACAAATGTGTTTCCCGTTCCTTTGTTCGAGCCACATAGGCAGAGGTCCGGGATTGCGCCAGGGTGGTGATGGATAGTGACCCCGAAGAGTATTTGCATTTTATTTTGCCTATCTTTCCCATCCTGTCTGGTCCGACACAAATAAATATACGTTAATGATTAAATAAATAATTAAATTAATTAATTCACATAATAATGCGGAAAATGGCTACATGTACACTTGGCAGGTGGAAAACGGGGCCGCGAGCACCCCTACTAGGGATGGATACGTGCGCCTAACAAAATGACATTATTATTATTATTATTATTATTATTATTATTATTATTATTATTATTATTATTATTATTATTATTATTATTATTATTTATTATTATTATTATTATTATTATCTTAAA